CTGCTCACATTTATGGACCATTACTGTGTGCCACAGATACTGTATCTATTGATTCACTTTTATCTCATTTGTCGCCATTTTCGACACAAATTGCAGGCAATCAATGAAATCCTCAAAACACATGTGGAAACCGATTCCCGATTTAATGCACTATTCATTCGGCAAACAATTGAATCGCTTAATGATATCATACTAGAGATCAATGAGTATAACACCACTTATTGGTGTCAATACATTGCGATTATGTGGATATTGTTGAGCATTAGTGGCATTACTATAGCCTATGTCTTATTGTTTCTAAAAATGCCATTCATTATCCGACTGATTGTAGGCCATGCGGTTGGCATCACATTACTGCCCCTCATATTTGTGGGCCAAATATCATCCGCCGTTAATCACGAGACATACGTAACGTATAAACTGTTGAATAGATATATCGCAAGACATATACCGCAAAATATGGCATATCGTAGAAAAGTCCTAAATCCATGGCTATTGGCTGAGATTAGAAAGGATTTATTTGGATGAATGGTTTGGGAAAATGGTACTGGTAGAAAGGGCTATGAACTAAATTAATTGAACATACTTTATTGATATAGATGTTACTAAAATTCTACTAAAATAAAACACTATTGGTGATCTCGCACATCTACATGGTATCCCCGAGACATTTAAACATTTCCGTTATATTCTGGACACCATTGAACATATTATTTTGTAATGGTACTGGTTCAACGGGTAGGCGATGTGCCGTATCACTCATATTGTGATTGCCTGAGAGCTGTGTGAGTACACCGGGCACTGGACTACTACCGAAAGTGAGTGGTGACTAGCGTTCCCAAATCCAAAAATCAAATTCATTGAGAATCCTTATTTTTGCCCTAAAAACGCCCTTAATTTCTATGATCTTTTAAAAAGTGATCATAAAGTTCCTTGAGGTCCATTGAAATGATCATATTTTTAGAAAATATTTCCTTGAGCATATGACTGATTCCTTGAGAGTCCTGCTTGAACCTTGAGATTTGGGAACCCTAGTGGTGACTGCCATGGGTTGGGGATATAAATTGGGACATACCGTGAAAAACCTGCGATAACAAAATGATTGTAATTTTACATTCTATAATAATTTAAATAACTGCATATAAATTTATATATAAATCATATTATAATGATAAATATAATAATGTACTTTATTAAATATACAGTAGATAGACAAGTTTAGATAATTTTATTTTTGTTCAAATGCATGAAATATACTCTAAATAATTTTAAGTTATTTATATTTAAGTAATTTGCGCTCGTATCAATATCTTAAAAATTAGCTTATTATTTATTATTGTAATTATAATTTTATTAAAACATACTTCTCATATGAAAAAGAAATTATATTTTATTCTATAATGATTCTTACCATATTCCCGGACAAGCACCGGCATGCCGTTATAAGTGAGGCTGATCAATTTTACAAAAATTGCTTTATGATACCCTACCGGCATGCCGGTGCTTGTGCAGGAATACGGTCAAAAGTTGAAATACAAACTTGAAGTTATATAAATGTACTGAAATAATAAGTAAGTACAGTAGTGCAGTCATATTGTAACCTGAATAATATTGCACCTCTATCTTAAGTACTTAAAATAATAAATTAATAGTAATGATAATATTATTACTGTTATGTTTGCTATACCAAACTAATATTTTAGTTGCAAAACAAACTAAAATATAATATGAATAATAAAATAGAAAATTAATTGTAATTACACTTAATTAAATAAAATAACTATTTATATTATATATATTACACTACAGTAGTATAATTTTAAATGTTTTATTCTAAAAGTATCCAATAGTAATTTGAATACTTTTACAAATTGAGAATAAATTTTAGTTTTTAGTAAACATATCAGAAATGCAATGAAAATACAAAATAATTTGTTTAATCAGTCGGTGGATGTGTCGCCCGTATGGACGACCCGTTTGCCAGTCCTCGAGTCAATCGTATTGATGGTGAAGTTGGACGAGACATCCGTTTTCAGTGCAGAACTTCTTTGAGTGATTGCATCCAGATTTCGGCGATTAGCTGTTCATGAGATAAGCATTTCATTTGTAAATGTCTTCAAAAGTAATATTTAGTTGTGTTTAGAAGTTATGAAATGTTTGAAAACTAAATCAATACAAACCACTTGAATGTCTTGAGCTGGTCGTTGACATGTATTTATTGACAACAGTTTTGCAAAATAAATACATAATGAGACCCAAACATGTGATTATGACCACAACCGATATGATTACGATAATGACGGAAATCATGTGTCCCTCCGAGTCTTGTGGGCAACGCATGAATTGTTTGATATCCTTGCCCTTTAGGTAATGAAACAAAATTTCTTAATTTCACAAAATATATCATTTTGAACCAAAACTTACGGTGTAGTTGAATGTACGGTTGGCTAAACTATATTCATAAATCTCTGAAGTTTTTGTTTGGGAATCGTATGTCACGCCATAGATCTTGTTCTGTGTATTACTTTTGTCGTTGTTTTCAAATACATTGAAAAATCCGACAAAATGTTTGCCAACAGAATATTCTTCAGTAGTATTCATCTGAACGAATGGGTTGTTAGACATCCTCACGATTCTGGTGTTCACTGAAGAGTTGTCGGCATTCATGATGTATACCAATTGCTGGCCATTTACATCCATAGCAACGCATGGGTTCTTTTGGTTGATCTAACCCTCTGGCCATATGTTGTAATCGTGATAATGGGTTGGATCTCCACTTACGGATACATTGGATGGCATTCTTGAGTCCTTGTCGTTGGGATTAGGTGTCTCTTCGCCATAAGTATATCTGTATTCATACGACAGTTTGTTGGGGTAGTAGTTAAATGTGAGTCTCATTCCCTCCATATGAGAGCATTGGTCCCCTGCAGTGCAATTGTACGGGTTCATTATCTCAGCCCTGGTCAGTATATGTCTATCAACTGATTCCGGTGCCCCAACCACTGCGGCAGACAAACCCAACTTCTGCTTCCACTTAAACTGGATGTCGTCCCTCACTATTACCACATCTGTCGTAATACTCCCACTGCGGAAGTCCCAGTCAATGGCTTTTGTGTACATATTTGTCACGTAATTGTGATCACAGATACTCTGATCACTCAATGTGTTTGAGATGCAAATGAATACTATGGCTAACTGTAGAGAATTGGACCGCATTTTAGATATTAGTTTTACGAAAAACATTTTACTTATATTTCTCTGTAAAACTGATTTTTACCAATAAATTTGTATTCAAAGCAGAAAACGTTATACAGTTATACCACGATGCAACAATTCAAATAACATTTTACTCAATTGAAATATTGTATAAATAAAAATCAATAATCTCATTTCGTAACAAATTGTTAGCTATTTATTAAATCCATAGCATATCCGTTAGAAATCAAAACTGACTATAAATTCATATACTTATCGATAAAATTAAAACAGATATTTATCAAAATGGCACAAAACTCAATACTTTTACCGGTATTTCATCAGGTACAACTCCTATATGTAGTCCCACCCATTGATACCTCATTTGCATTTCAAAGAGCTATCAAAGTTTTTGTCATGACTTACGCCGGATATCCCATCATAATGGGACAGACATATGCCCGGCGCCGGCAGCTTAACTTTACTCTATCCAAACCCGGTTGGGTACCTGTGTTTCGGACGATGCACGCCGTGTTTGACAGTATCCAAGCACTGCTCACCAAATACGTGGACTACGACGACCAGTTTGGCAGGATTTCCGATACTTGCAAACAGACCCGACATATGGTGAAAGGCATATACAGGGAGTTCTACAAACGGCTGTGTTATGACCTGTACCGGGAACTGGAGTTCGTGCACACCACTCACATAGCCAGCCCTCGTGTCTATCTCGTTCAGATCCTACACCTGGGGGTCGGCATAACATTTTTGGCGGCGTTTATCGATGACTTTCGTTTCAATTCCATGCGATACCGAAAGGATATCATTTGGTTGCTTACGAGCCCCAACCACTTCGCTTATCAAGTCCAGGTGCTTCCCACCGCTAAACCATTTATCGAGGACTTTCTCAGAGACAGGATAGCCATACAGGAGGCCCAACCATTCGTGAATCAATACATCGCTACAATATTTGGTCCTATTCTACAAGCAATGGATGCCTTACCCCCCGCGGACTTTAATATAGATTTGGCACAGGCTGATATCGCTTAACTGGTATCTCATTTGAATAAACAAATATTTGTTTGTGTATTCAAAAGAACAATAAAATTTTCGAAATAATATTAAATTGCCTGAAGTTTATTGACAAGTATACTCGCAGTTGTATAGTATATTTTGTAATACCGTATAAGTATAGTATACTATGATATATAAACTTATGAGTTCATAGACGTGTCAAACAAATCTACTATTACAGTACAAAAAGTTCATTTGAGAATTATTTAGGACATGTATATCCTCCAGGTGCTGTAACATTATTAATGATAATCAAATACTGCAAATCATATGATATTCATAATCTGTGATAACAGGCCTACTAATGGACGTATAGATCGATCCCAACAATTAAGTCTTAAGGACGCGCCATAGTGTTGAAAATGTATCATTACCTAAAACTTATACAGTACCTTATTTAATAGAGTCTATTAATGGTCGTTTATTTTATTATGAATTTCATTTAATACACAAAACACCTAGTTGTGATATAATTTTTATCTTAGCACTATAAATGCACTATACAATTATGTAATAGATAATTTAATCAATGTTAAATAATGCTACGATAAGTTATAATAAGTTTCTGGGAATTCACTGAGAAGTGAACCAGATACATTTATACGTTTGTAAACTTTTGTTCATTTTCTATCAATTGATAAAAGTATTGAGAAATAAAATACTGAAAAATTCGTGTGAAATTTGCCTATAAATTGAAAATTAAAACCAAAAAATGTTTCATAACTCAAACCATGAATTATTTGCACATATTTTTGCTCACATTTCTGGCCACCGATGGGTTGGCCGAAGACTTACGACTTTATCCGCGCGAGTCTGAGACGAGACAAGTGAAGGATTTGGACGGATTCTGGAGCTTTCGGGTCATCCCTCTGGAGGACGACCAGAATATTGGCTTCACTAACAAGTGGTACTCAAAACCGTTGGATCAGGTCTGACATCACTTCAGTAGATCTCATAAAAATTACCTCGATACGATAATTCTTATAAGTTATAAGTTATAACTTATTTAATTATACGCAATGTTTGTTACAATTAATAGAGAGATGATGTGATCCCAATGCCGGTGCCGTCCAGTTATAATGACATAACCCAGAGTCGATTTATACGGGACTACTCGGGTTGGGTCTGGTATGACAACACATTCTTTGTGCCCATCGACTGGACCCACAAATCGGTAACACTTCGCTTCGGTAGCGCTCACTACCAGACAGTTGTCTACTTGAATGGAGTGAATGTACTGAACCATACGGGCGGACACCTGCCCTTCGAGGCCTATGTGGACGGACACCTCAAATACGGCGAAAACAACTTGGTTACAGTCGCCATCAGTAATGTCTTGTCCGAGAGTACTGTACCCCAGGGCTCCGTCACCTATAAAAACGATACCAAACTCTATCCGAAAGGCTTTTACGAGACGACCACTAACTTTGATTTCTTCAATTACGCCGGTATTCACCGACACGTCTCGCTGTATGTCTTACCCCAGGTTCACATCACAGACATCACAGTCACTACAGATATCAAAGACACCACGACTGGTGTTATTAGCTATACAGTCATTCGCAGCAATTTATCCGCAAGTGTTGAGTGTATTATCGATGTTTTGGATAAAAAGGGTAATAAAGTCGCGGATAATAAAGGCTTTTCTGGTGTCATAACCATAACAAACGCCACATTCTGGTGGCCATACACTATGGACCCCAACCCTGGCTATCAATACACGTTGAAAGTGTTGCTAACAGACAGTGGAAAGACAGTCGATGTCTACTACCAGAAGGTCGGTATTAGGACCGTTCGAGTGACCGATAAGGAGTTCATTATAAACGGAAAACCTTTTTATTTCCGAGGGTTTGGCAAACATGAAGACGCGAATGTATGACCCGTTTATGACAATACTATTCATTAAATCTTAAAAATTGAAAACAAACTAAAAATTACAGATAAGGGGAAAGGGATTAGATTTGCCGATAATTGCCAAAGACTTCAATCTTATCAAATGGATGGGCGCCAACTCTTTCCGGACATCCCATTACCCATATTCAGAGGAACTCATGGATATGGCGGACGCGGAGGGGATTGTAGTGATCGACGAGTGCCCGGCCGTCGGTTTGCACGCCTTTAACGACGTCCTCCTCGGCAAACATTTGGCGCTAATTACGGAAATGATCCAAAGAGACAAAAACAGACCATCGGTGGTCATGTGGTCCGTTGCTAACGAGCCTCTGTCTGACCAGAAGGAGGCCGAAGACTACTTCCAAAAGGTGTCGACTCACGCGAGAGGTCTCGACAACACCCGTCCATTAACGGCGGCCACGAAAAAGGACTTTAATAACGACAAAATGTCTGCGGCTTTGGATGTGTTGATGATCAACAGGTACTACGGCTGGTATTCAGACACCGGTTTCCCGCAAGTGATTGAACAACACTTGACCACAAATATCATCGATTGGCACAACACTCACCGCAAGCCTATTATAGTTTCCGAGTACGGGGCCGACACTGTGCCCGGTTTGCATCAGGTATACTGTATATAATATTACTTATTAGCTAACATTATTACCATGGCAATTAAAATGACTTATTTATTGATGAGGACCCTGCTTATGTGTTTTCCGAAGACTACGAGTCAGAGCTGTTAATGCATTATCACAGAGGGTTTGATCGGTTAAGAAGTGACGGTCTCTTAGTGGGCGAACACGTCTGGAATTTCGCCGATTTTATGACCACTCAGAGTAGGACTGAATGTCATATGAAATGGATTTAGAGTTTTGTCACTAAAGCCAACTTACTGTCCAAACAGAGACCACACTTGGAAAGGCAAACAGGAAAGGCATATTCACGCGGGAACGACAGCCTAAAGCGGGCGCCAGAATACTCCGGTGCAGGTATTGGGCTTTGGCTGAAGTGAAGTCACAGCAACACTCCGGCCTATCGTACTGTCCGGTCGACTGATATTTTTAGCATATATTAATATTCAGACATCGAGTTTTGCAAACTGTTTATATAATTTTGTTGCAAGATTATAAAAGCAATGGTAGTTTCAAAATAATTAGCAAACCATGTGTTGACAAATTAATATTTCCAATGATTTAATTTTACAATAAGTTAACCAAATGAATATAATGAAAGTAGACGTTCATTCAGTACGTATAATTGAAAATAAACACTAAATAAAAAAATTAACTTTCTAAGATTGGCAATATTTTGTAACAGTTTTGTAGATCTCGATGAATTGATTTTAGATATATGATATTATTGTAGAAATATAATAACAGATATAAAGTCAGTCAGAAAGTATTGCAATGGAAGTTTGTTTAATATCTCGCTTATTGGTTATAGCAAAAATCTATGCTCTGGCACACTTAAAGTTTATTATGAGGTAGTAATGAAAAAACAAGAATA